GTCTGAGTAGCTGAGATACAGGCGCCCACCACAACCGCCCGCTAATTTTTGTATTTTAGTAGATGCCAGAGCTGTCACCATATTGCCTGGCTGGTCTCAACTCCTGACCTTTCGTGATCTGCCACCGGAGATTCGGCTCCAAACGTGCTGCGGACTTGATAGGCATGAAGTCACCGCAGGGCAGCTTATTCCTACCTTTCCAGGAAGCAAAGCCACCCATCGCCCGATGAGACGCCCTGCATTCCATGATGAGCCTGGCCTGGGTCCGCCGCGGCCCACCCATTTGGATGTGCCAGACCCACCCACAACAGACTCTGCTTTGCCAGGAGGTGCACCCACCTGCTTCCCTCCAGCGTCTGTGCCTCAGCCCTGCCTCTGCTCACTAATGCCTTGGGAATCAGCTCAGGCACTCAGTGTGAAGCCCGGCTGGGCACTGGAAGGTGGCAGAGGGCCCTGGACCAGGCTGGCTCTGGCTTGCACCACCGTTCTGCTTTAGGGTTCATGCCGACCGCTCCCCACCCCCTTTCTCCGAGGGCTACTTACAGCGTGCGTGTGGTCTGAGTGGGTCTGGAGGAGTCTCTCTCTGCTTGTCTTCTGGTGTCCGACTGATCTGATGGGTTCTTATATACCTCCCAACCCTGGGAGCTGCCCTTGGAGCCCATTAACCTTTAACCACAGCTTTGGGGGCCCTCGGTGGGGGAGCCTGGATTCTTGAAACTCATGGAAACCCCGGGCAGGGCTAGCCACGCTGTGGGCTTCCAGGGCTTTCCTGGAAGGAACAGCGACAGTCAGATGACACCCAGATGGCATTCTCCCATCCACTGAAAACTCAGCTGCCTCTCAGAGGTCATTTTAACAAAAGCCTTTTCTTTTTTTTGTTCCTTAAATATGTGACATTGGTGAGCGTCTGCAGGCCAACGCTCTAGTGATCAGATTTTCTGTTGACCTCTCAGAGTGCTGTATTAGAAAGATAACTTCTCTTCAGTCTTCCTCCTGAAGCCCCTCATGAAAGAAAGTGTTCAGGAGCTTGTGACAGCATTTCAGTGGATTAATGAAAAGAAAATGACTGAGTCCAGATCCAGGGCTGTGTGGGGCCAGATGCCACAAAGGAGCCAAGGAAATGCAGAGGGGTGACAGTGTGGGAGGTCTGCATGCCGCAGCCTAAATGGGGAGATGGACACCTACCTGGGCAATGTTTCATGGTAATCATGCAATTCAAACAGTATGTGTAAAGATTCAAAGAGGGAAGAGGGAAGAGGTGAATGTGATCTGGAGTCAGACCTGGGTTGCTGTTGCTGGGGCTGGGTGGGGCCATTTCCAGAGCGCAGCATTACTCAGGAAATGCTTGACACGAACGTTCTGATTAAACACAGCAACCCCGTGAGGTGGGTGCGTTTATTTCCCCCATCTGATAGATAAGGAAACAGAGGCACTGCTAAACAGCTCGTCTGTGACTCCCCTGCAAGGTCTCTTTATACGAGGGTGAAGGCCAGACGTGGCCAGGTGCAGCAGAGGGCAGGAGTGAGGGCTTCTGGGGATTTGGGGCACACACAGGCTTAGGATGGTGTGGTTGTGTCACAGGAGGTCCCCTGTGTGGTCTAGGAGCCGCTCAGTCGGATCTGAGTGTGGGGACCCTTAGCAACCAAGCAGAAGGATTTAGATTTGATGGAGGAAATGGAATATTGGGCATCCTCATGATACCTTGAAGGGGATGTTAGGGCAAAAACATCACTCTGGAAGATCTCTAGTTTTCTGGGTACCTGTGATGGACCAGGCAGAGACCGAGGTAGGGTACAGTCAGGATGTAGAATCCCGAGGGTCTGGGTGGGCAGTGGCCATTTTCCCAGGCGACCTACGTTGGCTAGTAGCACCTTCCAGAGAGGCTGCCCCACACATCCAGAGGGGTACTACTTCTTACCCAGGAGACCCTGCCCAGCCAGTCCTTGGGTCTGCTCTGGCCCTTCCACTCAGAAACAAATGTTTGCAGTGCTTCAAACCCAGTGCAGATAACTTCTACCTTCCCCACTCAGCAAGGCTTAATGAAAACAGATGGCAGCTCGGTGTCCTCGCTTCCTGCCAGCGGGGTCTCTGTGTACAGCACTCCACTCTGCACCCACGGTTAGAACTCCAGCACACTGGACCAGCGGCTGTTGTGAGATGTGTGGTGTGGCTCTGAGGTCTGAGACTTATCTCAGGAATTAGAGCTCCAAATGCCAGGGTTTGCAGCAGAGTTGCCATCCCTTAACCTTGGGCCTCATTGGAGTCTTACTGGCCCTGTTTCAAGAGGGGCTTTTAGGAAGAGGTCGCTAGGCTGGGCAAGGTGGTTCACACCTGTAATCCCAGCTTTTGGGAGGCTGAGGCAAGAGGATTGCTTGAGGCCCAGGAATTCAAGACCAACTTGGGAAACATAGCAAGACCTCATCTCTACAAAAAATAAAAACAATTGGCTAGATATGATGGCATGCCACTGTGGTCTCAGCTACTCAGCAGGCTGAGGTGGGAGGATCATTTGAGCCTGGGAGATGGAAGATAGAGTGAGCCATGATCATGCCACTGCACTCCAGCCTGGGCAACGGAGTGAGACCCTGTCTCTTAAAAAAAAAAAAAAAAAAGACAAAGTCACAGACCTTGGTGGGGGCAAAGTAGTCCCTTGAGAGTCGGGAAGTAGTCTATCAGCTTCTCAGGCTCGGGGATGCTCTGGAGGGCTCCATCTATAAGCATGGGCTGCTGTGATGGGGCACATCACATCTGCATCTCTAGCACCTAGACCAGGACAGGCAAAACGGGCCAAACCAGCCTGCCACTTTTTTTTTTTTTTACAGCCTGTGAGCTAAAACCAGTTTTCACATTTTTTAATAATTAAAATATCAAAAGAATGTGTAGTGACACGCGAATTTAATTTCCATGTTCATAAATACAGTTATATTGGAACAGATCCACTCATTCATTTATGTGTTACCTATGGCTGCTTTGGGGCTGTAACAGCAGAGTTTAAGTAGCTGTGGCAGAGACCTGTGGCTTACAAAGCTGAACATATTTATTACATGGACCTTTGTAGAAAATGTGTGCTGGTCCCTGACCTCAACAGTGTCTAGAGCATGTGGTAAATAACAGCCAGATGTTACACGCGTCTGCTTTTTAGAACCTCACAACAGCCCTGAGGTTCGTGTGGTTATTATCCCAACTTACATGTGGGGAAACTGAAGTGGAATAATGGACCCAAGGTCACGCAGCTATTCAAATGGCCAGGCCAGGGAGTCTGGCTTCAGAATGAAGTATTTATTTATTTATTTATTTTTAAATAACTCTGTTCTTCTGCCCCTCATTGTTTGGTGAGTGTGCATAGGGATGTTTGTAGCTGGGGAAGACACAAAACAGTGGCCTGGTACCAATTCTATAAACCTGCCACTCTCCCCTTAAGCCATCCCCCATGAGGTCTCTGAGCATGAGGCAGCCTGAGCTGAGCAACCGAAACAAGTGCCGCTTCTGCTGTATGTCCTTAGGCTTGGAGAGGCCAGGCTTGGGCTGGAAGGAGGACTGCAGATGGCGGACCAGGTCTATCCACTGAGCACAGGGAGACATCTGAGGCCACTTTCTCAGGGCCCCTCTGTTCTAGAGCTCTGAGATCCGTGCCCTGCCTCTGCTGGGCCAGTCTGGGCTCTGGTCCAGGGACGCCTCCAAGACACTCTGTCTGAGAAATGATTAGGAGCCTCCAAGCCCAAGGCAGGCCTGTAGTGAGAGATGGGGAGAAGGGAAGTGCGGGAAACAGTAAATAACCCAGGATCAATTTTCTGGGCGTGAATAGCACTAACCTGGATCGCTCCCATGATTCAGTGTTTCTGACCCAAGTAATTTGCAGTATTACAGTGTGACATCTGCAGTTCGGTGTGGAAGGAAGGCAAACCAGGGTTCACAATGAGCTGTGCCTGCTAATGCAAAAGGGGAATGTAGACTCACAGGGGGCTCCAGGTCTGCTTTGGGGTCACAAGCTGCTGGGATGCAGTGGCCTCCGCTCACACCCCTCTGGGCTGCAGGCCGTGTGGGCCAGCCCTTTGGGAACCGTCTCACCAGGAATACGTCTTCTCTACCTTATTTGTGCCTTGGTCCTCGCTGGGCATTTTCCACTGCCACGGTTAGTGCTTTAGAAATGGAGTTGGGTAAATAACAAGCCTAATAACCACTACTTTGTCTTTACCATGTACCTTGGCTCTCCCTACAAATGCTCAGTTGGTGGCTGTTTCTCTCCTGCTAGAAACTGGACAAAAATAAAAGGAAGGCGTAATCTGATGTTCTTCATTTTCCAAGTGGGAATTGCCACGGATATGCAGCAGCCGAGGGAGAGGGGAGGCGTAGAAACCTTACCCAAGTCTAGGAAAGGAAGTTGACAAAACTCAGAGGAAATGGCTCAAACCACATGTGAGCACTTGATTGCCTCTTTCTCCCACAGTGGGCAGAGATATTAGCAGTTTAGCTCTCCTCTCCTCATGACCTTGAAAATATTGTTTGCTGGGTACTGCCATAACATCTTCATTAATGGTCTGGAACAGGGAGGCAATGGCATGTTAATTAAATTTGCAGATGATACTAAATTGGGAGATGTAGCAAACATCAGGGAGGACAGAGATGTAATACGAGAAGATGTCAGGAGTTAGAACTGCGTGCTGGAAATGGCCAGGTAGGCTGCTGGACATATGTCACCAAGGCCCTGAGGACACAGGATGGAGGATATGGGTGAGAGGGAGGGACCAGCCAAGAAGAAAAGGTGCAACTGGGGGCTCCTGGGGCCCGGGAAGCTTGAACACTGCCCTGTTCTCCAGATGGGTTCCTCAAAGAGCCAGAGGGCGGCAGCCAGACGAAGGCAGAGTTCAGAGGAACCAAAACAGCCTAAGGATTGCAGGAGTGCCAAAGCTGAAGGAATAATAATGAAAAATGAAAGGTTTCAAAAGGTTGGCTTGTCCAGAACGCTGGTAAGAATTAAATGTGCATCGCTCATAGTGAGCAAAGGCCAAGGCAAGGCAACCCAGGGGCAGGAGGGAGGGCAGGAGGACAGAGAGTTGTTGCCGAGACCTCGCGTCTAAAGTCCTTGATATCCCTTACAGAGACAGAGGTGTGCAACCGGACTCATAAGCAAAAATACAAGTTGATGGTGACGACGTTTAAAACTGGGTCAAGCAAAGCTCTGAGAGATGTATTTTGGGCAACAACTGTGCCCTGGCCCAGGGGACACAGGCTTTGGTGACCTGGGGAGTATTTTTATTCTTTTCCTTCTATGACTCAGGATCTTTTTTCAGAACTCACAAATGATTTGTTGAGAAATGATACACAGCAGACACCATATGCCAAGAGCTCCATGATACAGGCACAGTGCAAGTGGAGAGGAAAACACTGACACAGAGCGGGTCCGGCCAGGATTAATTTCCAATTTGCCGAGCTTCTTGTTTGTGTGTTACATCTGCTACTTGAATTAACATTCCTGCATCTCCAATTTCCTGTTGAGTCCATTCAATGCACAGTGACAACCTGGACCCGAAACAATCCAATAAAATGCTTTTCTTTTTGGTTCAGCCTCATGGATTATTGACAGTGTGCACACAACCTAGGGACTCGGCTGAGTTTTACAATAGCATCCCTGCCGATTTCCTGGTCAATATTTCCCTGGGGGGTTAAAATACTCCGAGAAATGTCCCCATCACCAACTTGCTTCTGGGTTTCCTTTCTATTTGCGGGGGTTTATTGCCAAAGCTGCTGCTATAAAACTTCAAGAAGAGATCACATAACTTTTTTTCCAAGGACAGGCTGTGGGTGCTAAGAGCAGGGTCTATGCACCGGACTTCTATGGGA